CAACTGGAACATTTACAGGGTGGTACAAGATTCAGAATTCTGATCACCTTGTATCTGTTCCAATTATTAAATGTCAGTAGATAGTAAATCAAAAGTTGAGATACAGATGAAAGCCGTTTATACCGATAATTAATAGTATCGTCACAAAAAAATCCTTAAATTGAAAAATCTCGATTTTGAACACCCTATATCTCTGTAATCTTTCCCGCTAGAGCCCAAGAAGTGTGATACATTTTTCAAATCAGCTCTTCAGGGAGAATCTGAAAATACAATGAAAAATTGGGAGTTCCATTCAAAAAAGTCAAATAGTACCCTGTAGATCGTTTGTTCCGAGCACCCTGTATTTTCTGATGTAGCGGAAAAAACTTTATCGAAAATCATTTAAGATGATAGTTCAAATTCTTAAATTGGTTCAAAAATAACTGAGCTAGAGAAAGGGGGACATTTATGGAGAATCACCCTGTACGCACTCCCCAAAGGGCATGAAATGATATGTTTGAGGCACTCTAGGGTGTCTAATTAGAAAAAAAAAACTCATCATCAGCCGATATTCTGGAATTCGAACACGCTATAGATATGAAAATGGTTTAAGGTGACTGAAGGTATATTGTAACGAAAAACGAAAAAAATGTGGACCAAGTATCTATTTATCGGAGGATGATAGAGTGTCGTTCTCACGCACCTTTAAAGCTGTCTGGCGGCATGATTCTGGCATATTTTTTATTGAAAAGCAAACCTATTCGGCTACCAATCCACAAATATTCAGTGCTCTATTAATCGTACGTTGCATTGCTTTTTTTTTCAACTTTCAACGGCGATACCATGACCGCATCCACCACTAAAAACCTGCCAGTCATCCTGATCAGTATCCCACATTTTTTGGGATTTTCTTTCGTCATTTCTATAAAAAAAATATGAATATTATTTCAATATACTTACTTGTATTAAGGACGAATCAGATGATTTTCCTCAAACTGTCACTGCGTTCAAAGAATTTTCCAATCAGAAAGCCTAAAAGAAAAATTCACTAGCTTGTCAGTGACAATTTGTATTGAAAAAGGTTTGGAGAAGAGAAATAAAGGTATATAGAGAAAATATCAAATTTTCACTTAGCTTTGGGCGTTTCGGGAACGAATCTGCACCAACATAAACAATTGATATTTGTATAGCAAATTCGTATTCGTCTTGACACTTTTCGATCAGTTCTCAGTAACAATTGATGACGTTGGCAATCAAATGAGTTACAGGATGTTTTCATTAATTAATCTTGAATTTGCCATTTTCATTGTCGGATTTCAGTAGTGAATACCTTGTTGTATCTATATCAACTGAACAGGAAGCAATGCTATTGTCTCCGTTCAGAAGAATGCAAGCAGATTTCTTGATTTTTCTCTTCTGGTTGCTATCTTCTTTTCCCATGATTTCAATATTATTCCACTCTGCAAGGTCCACCACAACAAAATCAACCAATCAATAACGACAAATATACCGGGTGACACAGGGTATCGGGCCACCCCTGTAACTTCTGCTTTCGTCATCAGATTTTTCTGAAATTCGGTACAGTTATATAAGCAATTATTTCGGATTTGATCACATTACAATCCAATATGGCGGACTTCCGGTATTTCTGGAAATGCCAGCAACTTTGTTTTTTCAAATGAAACACCCTGTATATTTTTACATATTCAAGTTCAACAGGTAGAAACAAGTGCAATCTTTATTTCAAATGTCATTTTTTCGAAAAAAATTAAATTAAAATTGTTTTTTCATTTTACCTCGTGGATAAATGAGATGTGGTCAAACTATTCACAATGAGTCACACATAACAGAAGAACCTAATTTTTTCTGAAAAATTATTTTTTGTGTCACTTATACAGGAATCAATTCAGCCACATCACTTTTTGATCAAAAATTATTTTTTTTCTGTGACGGGAAAAAAGTTTGGCATTTCATCTCTGTTGGCAGGTTATAAAATGTCACTTTTCATAAATTACTTTTTTCCCGTGGGAAAAAAGTGAGTACTTCTTTCCCGGATATATATCACATATATATACTCTGTTAATGGCTTTTGTTGTGCTATAGTTCCGAAAAATGAGTCAATAATACCGTCTCCGAGAAAGAACTGCAAGTCCTTTTATCTTCCATTCGACTTCGCGGTTACGTATATTACTGAACAACCACTAAATTCGCAATTTTTTGAAATCAAATCACAGAATTAGACTGACAGAAGTGACATCAAATATTTGATTACTTCAAAAGAATGATAAAGATGTCTATAAAACGCAGGTGTCCCTACTGTTAAAAACTTGAAATTTCACGTCGATAATTTTCAGATTTCGAAATAATGTAATATCTTCTCAATATTGATTCGTCCTTCCTTCTGTCACAGAAAAAAATAGTGTATTATACACGGGAAAAATATTAGATTTTAGCTCACGGTTTTTTGTCTCCCTCCGCTACGCGTCGGGAGACAACACAACCTGGAGCTAAAATCTACTACTTTTTTCCCTTGTATAATAAATAACTATTTTTCAAATGGAACCCCTATGGGCCACCTACCCGTTTCTCTAGAACATACATTAAGGAACAAAATGAAATATCATTTTTGTTTTTCGGTGCAGTAACAAATTGTATACATTCAAAAATCAACAACTAGTCATGAATTTCCTTGCAGTTAGAATCATTTTTCAACTACGTAGGCTGTGGAATAAATGACATTTGACATCAAGATTGCACTTGTTATGACCTGTTGAACTTGAATATGTAAAAATATACAGGGTGTTCCATTTGATAAAACAAAATTGCTGGCATTTCCAGAAAAACCGGAAGTCCGTCATATTGGATTGTGATGTGATCAAATCCGCAATAGTTGCTTATATAACTGTACCGAATTTCAGAAAAATCCGTTGACGAATGCAGAAGTTACAGGGGTGGCCCGATAGCCTGTGTCACCCGGTATAAGCATACATTCACGGCACATCTGAACAAATGAAACGTGTTGGTGATGAATTTCAAGAGAAAACTGTGTTGAAAACTGAAAATACAATGAGATCAATTATTATAACTCAAACAAAGCAGGAAAATGAAGAACAATCGTCAAAAAATTGTATTTACAGTATACCTTGTGTTTGTGGAAAGTTTTATACAGATGAAATTAAGAGACCTCTTTCAGTGAGGACGAAGGAACTCAAGTACAATATGAAGAAAAGACACATCGACAAATTGAAACTAGCTGAACATATCCTTACTGAAAATGGATAAAATATGGCAGAGGGGAATAATATTAAAATCATTGAAGAAGAAGATAACAACCAGAAGAGGAACTTCAATGAATCTGCTTGCATTCTTCTGAACGGAGACAATAGCAGTGCTTCCTGTTCAGATGATATAGCTATGGTATTCACGACTAGAATCTGAGAATGTGAAATTCAAGATTAAATAATGAGAACATCCTGTAACTCATTTGATTGCCAACGTCACCAATTGTCACTGGGAACTGAGAAGTGGCAAGACGAATACGAATTTGCTATACAAATATCCATTTTTTATGTTGAAAACGGGAGCAGATTCGATCCCAAAACGTACAAAGCTAAGTGAAAATTTGATATTATTTCTATATTCCTTTATTTCTCTTCTCCAAACCTTTTTCAATACAAATGGGCGTGTACACCTTAGTAGAACTTTCAACTCAAACCATGTTTATAATGATCCTTTTATACATAAATAATGATTGACGACATGATTCGATCGAAAAATTAACCGGAATCTTTTATTTTTGGACATAAATAATAGTACCTTCTGAAAACGGACCCTCTTATGACGTAGGAACCTCATCTCGCCATGGTTAAAACTGACACTTATCACTGTTGCCATATCATCTAAACAAAATATCCGAGAGATCAAAATCGATATTAAAATATCTTTTGATATCCACTATCACTACTGCAGAAAGATATATTCAAGTTGTCGATTGTAGGTTGAATCATTGGAATATAAACAATCTCTAGACAACGAAATGTCTCAATCTCAAACCCATTTGCACCATAACAATTTCACAATAATCCAATGTTTTATAAACGCAGCAACATTGCTTTGTTGACCTGTTTTACATGGAGCTGCAAAAAGCTAATATAGGTTAGAATTGATCTTCTTTTTGTTCTTATTATCTTTGTCCCAAAAATCAACTTGCCGATTCACCAATCTTGGTGCTTTGTCAGAAATCATGTATCATTCATCTCTGTCTGGAATAGTCTTGTATCAGTATTAGGGTTTTGACGTCACATCATCGCTTCGTTTTCAGAGGTCCGAAAAATCGGGGATTTCAATAATTTAAAAAAAAAGGGAGCTCAAAGCAAGAAACGGTTTGCGGTGGTGAGCTTGTTTTTAGTGAGTTCTATCGAATTATGAAATGAAATTTTTTTGTGATATAAGCCCATTGTCACTGATAAGCTAGTGAATTTTTCTTTCAGGCTCTCTGATAGGAACATTCTTTAAACGCAGTGACATTATGGGGCAAATCATCTGATTCGTCTTTAAAACAAGTATATTGAAATAATATTCAAATTTTTATTATATAGAAACGAGAAGAAAATCCAAAAAAATCTGGATTAATAAATGTACCATCTCCTCGATTAACCTTCAGACAGTATCCATCCTGATCAGTTTTTAATGATGTACAATAAGGCAGGAGATATTGATCTATTAATCGGACAATGAAAGTTTTTTTCAGCTCTCCGTCTAACGTACTTACCTTACTCACTAATTATTATTTATTACCTCTGAATTCAGTGATTTATTATTTTTGCGATTTCTTATTGTATCATATTGTTATGTATCATTGTATATTGTATTATATCCTGTAAACTAATTTGGTTGAGTTTGAGTAGCTATTAGCTAGACTTCGCCAAAATTAGTGTTGTACATTATGAATTTGTTTCCATCCCGTTAATAAAGCCGATTTATTATTATTATTATTATTATTATTAGCAGTATATGCCTACCGCCGGTAGATTCTCCAGTTCCTCCTGCGTTATCTCGATACCGTAGCCCTTGAACAGTTTTTCCACCTCCCGTTTCGGAACAGGTTCTTCCCCCACCCCCTCCTGCCGCTGTTCGTACACCAGATAGAACAGGAACTCGTGCACAATGCGCATGCGGATGAACTTTGGCTTCACGCCGTGCGTCACGCTTGCATTCTTAGCGTACCTGTCGACCACAAAAAAAATTATGATGAGGAAAGTTCAATTGAAATTTTCGACGTGAATCACCCCTGCATTCTTGCCGTATCTGTTGACCACAAAAAATACACTCCCCGACAATAAATTCCGGACAGTGAAATTTTTAGCAAAATTGTTCGCCCTGTAACTTTGGTAATCCTCTTCCGATTTCGATGAATTTTCGACCAGAGCGTAGAATTATGTTTCGCAAAATCAGCCTGATATTTTGTTCCGAAAAACATCTATTGTCCTAATCATTATACAGGGAAGAACAAAAGTAACTTTTTCACCCTTAACTTCTTAACGCCCTGTGGCAAAAGTGAGCAATTAGAATAAGTTTCATTATGATTTGTATTGAAGTGTGATTCCTTCCCAACAAAATGGTTTATAAATCACGTCGATATCTTTTCTTGAAGAGAACAAGTGCTTCAAGAAAATATGTAATTTTTCATATTCATCAAAAATTATTCAGAATTTACAAAAACATTAACAACTTGAAATGAAAAACAAACAACTAAAAACCAATATCGCGTATTGCCACCGCGTTTTCTTAGTACTTCCTCTATGCGCCGAGGCATACTCTCAATGCAGTTGTCGATGGCCTCTTGCGGAATATTTTCCCATTCTTCTAGGAGGGCTGTCCGCAAATCCGGTAATGTTTCTGGGTGGCGATTGCGAACACGTCCCAAACGTGCTCACTAGCATTCAGGTCGGGACTACGCGGGGGCCACTCTAATCGCCCAATATTTACCTCGTCCAAGTATTTTGTCACGATTCGCGCATTAAAATGAAGTTTTGCCCAACAAAGCCGGCAAAGGGTACCACATGTTCAGCTAAACATTGTCGGATGTAACGATCAGCAGTTAAAGAACCATTTTCTATGAGCACCAGGTTCGTACGAGCATTTGATGATACTCCTCCTCATACCATGATACTACTGCCTCCAAATGGCGTCCTTGGAGATATGCAACACTGAGCAAATCGTTCACCCGGCCTCCTCCAGACACGTTCACGTCAGTCAGGGGAGCGCAAACAAAAACGCGATTCATCCGTGAATAACACATTCGCCCAGTCTTGGGCTCTCCAGTAGCTATGTTCACGAGCAAAATTAAAACGCCCTGTGCGATGTGCAGGAAGTAACAGAGGATATGCAGCGGGTCTTCTGGACATCATTCCTCTTTCTTTTAATCTACGCTGAATGGTTCGTGCAGAAACTATTGTACCTCGTACATCTTGTATTCTATGACTTATAACTGTCGATGGTGTGCCACGATCTCGTAATGCTGTTAGATTGATGAGATGGTCATCACGTTGATTGGTAACACGTGGTCTACCTGATCCCCTACGTCGTATGTACTCACCAGTCTGACGAAACCGACTAATCGCATCTTGTACAGTACTTTTTACGCAGTTTATTATGGAATGTCAGAATACTGGCACTTTGTTAAACAATACTTTTGATGTTAATACGCAATCAAAGACCAGTGTGATGAATGAGTTCACGTAGGTTGTTGAGAAAGATTAGAAAATGCCATACTTTCTTGAAACCTTTGTATCTTCTCTTGAAAAGAAAATATTGACGTGGATCAAAGAACAGATGTATTGAGAAGGAATCACACTTCAATACTAAACCTAATGAAACTGATTTTAATTGCTCACTTTTGCCACAGGGCGTTAAGAAGTTGAGGGTAAAAAAGTTACGTTTGTTTTTCCCTGTATAATGATTAGGACAATAGATGTTTTTCGGAACAAAATATCAGGCTGATTTTGCGGAACATAATTCTACGCTTTGGTCGAAATTTCATCGAAATCGGAAGAGGATTACGAAAGTTACAGGGCGAACAATTTTGCTAAAAATTTCACTGTCCGGAATTTATTGTCGGGGAGTGTATTATGAGGCAAGTGTCGACAACAAAAAAATATGATGACGAGGAAAGTGTAATTGAGATTTTCGACGTGCATCACGCCTACATTCTTGCCGTATCTGTCCACCACAAAAAATATTATGAGGCAAGTGTAATTCAAATTTTTGCCGTGCATTCCTGGTGTACCAGTCGACCACAAAAAAAATATTAAAATGAGGAAAGTGTAATTGAAATTTTTGACCTGCATGACGCCGGAATCCATGCCGTATCTGTCGACCACAAAAAATATTGAGGCGAGTGTAATTGAAATTTTTGCCGTGCATCACGCTTGCATTCTTGGCGTATTTTTCGACTACAAAAAATATTACGATGAGGAAAATGTAATTGAAATTTTTGCCGTGCATCACGCCGGAATTTTCGCCCTACTTGCCGACCACAGAAAATATGAAGAGGAAAGAAAAATTTAAATTTTTGACGTGCATCAAGCCGGCATTCTTGCCGTACCTGTTGACTACAAAATATATCAGAATGAGGAAAGAGAATGTCAATTCTCAATTTCAGAGGATTGAAGTTGAAGCTTCAAGATTTTTTTCATTGTTGATTGATTGTCTTCATTACCACAAGAAACATTTCTGTTTATAATAGGGATACATGCATAGTGAAAGGAGAAGATGGTGTGCTCAACAGAAAGCTCAAACTCGTCTTGTTCTGCGCATGACGTCAGCTGGGATATAACTGTCATTGTTATTATTTATTTTCGTGATTGATGTCTCGAACTTCAGATATTATATAAGTACTAAAATTGAATGAAATAATATCGAAATGCCTACTGGTTTCGTTTCTGGTTATGGGAATTCCAACTAACATACGAAAGGCACAGATATTGAATTTTTCTGCTTTTCCAAGAATGGAGACCTAATGAAACGATGGGAGCTTGCTGCCGACAGAATATAAAGTCAATGAATGGTACCTACCTTATATTCCTCATATCCTCATTCCAAAGTATTCACCTATCATATTATCATCACATTCATATTACAGCACGTATTTCTTCGAAACATTTCCATGCAAAATGTTCCCAAACAAGTGCGAAAGTACGGTTCTTGAATCACACACCTCCAAAAAATCACAAATATTTGAAACAAGATGCCATTCCTACAGAACATCTTCCGAATATTAAGTCAGAAATAATTGAAAATGAATTCAAAACTCTTAATTTCTCACAAAATATAAATTGCAGCAAATATTTGAATAACAAAACGGCAAAAATTGATACTCTTGTTTTCGATTTCGGAGCAGAACGTCGTTAACTGTTGAATTTTAATCTGTCAGAATCGACACAGTAGTGGATCATTCGATCAGATGGGATTGGCAATGCATGATATTTCGTATGTATCTAATTTCAATAATCATGATTGAATTCATTGCGCACGCCCATGGCAACGGTATCTGTCTGTGACTAGCAGCTGATATTGGTATCCCAGATGACGTCACATAATATGCGCGTAGGCATCCTTCCACTATGGGATACATGAATACATAAATAGTTATTCATACACCAAGGTAGTAAAGAATATCATTATTACCCAGGGACAAAGATTCAGCCGAGGGGTATAAGGTCTCGTGGTAATGATATTCTTTACTAAACAGACTATAAAAGATGCAGAATCGTGCTATGCGAATAATCTTACAATGTTCAAGGATAACACCGATAGCAAATATGTTGAAAACCCTACAATGGCTACCAGTGAAAAAACTCTTCGAGTATCAAACACTAATTTTCATTTTTAAAATCAAAATTGCATATTCACCTGTATATCTACAGAGTAAATTATCATATGTGGCTGAAATACATGAATATAATACAAGAAACAGAAACAATATAAAAGTTGAAAAATATAAAAAAAATAGTACACATAATTCCTTATTTTATAAAGGAGTAGATTGTTTTAATGACCTCCCACAAGAAATTAAAGAGAGTGGTTCGATAAATACATTCAAAAGACGATTGAAGGATTATTTAATGAAAAATTAGTATATAATTATTACTCTTTTTTTGTGCCTAGTTTTTATTTACACGTATGTATTTTTTATTCAGACTGATTGTATTTTTTCATGTTAATCTAAGTTTATTTATATGTGAATGTATTTAATATTGTGAATGAATTAGTTTTTCAACTAAATAAAGATATATATATATATATATATATACTACCAAGGTTTATATTAAAATTTGTTCACCACTTCAATATATTTCCAATAATTTTAGTTCTGTGAAACCGAAATATTTTCTGTGGTTTTCTCATATTTTTGCAGTGAACGCAGCCAAGGAAATTAAAGTAAAGGAATTAAGAGATTTCTGGTGAATTTGGAGTTGACACATATAGAGAAGATCTTGGATTGTGGTCGCTGGACAAAAGGAAGACATGTTCAGGTGAGTGTTGGGTCTATACTTTATTTGTAGTGTTAACTCTCACTCTCACCTGTGCATCTCCTTCTGGGTAAAGAATCCACGAATTTCAATACACTGAACCATTCTTTTATGATTTTTGTGCATAATTATCACCTTATCTAATGTTCTAGGACCAAGGTCCATTATCTTTTCTGTTTGAGCAGTTGATGTTGGAGTAAGGTGTCTGCCAGCTCGATATCACTCCTAATATTTCAAAACAATATATATATTTGTTTCCTTGTCTTTTCTTTATAGGTACATGATTCATACTTGCATGCAAGCAAAAGGCCAATTTTTTCTAGAAAGTATTTGAAACTGGTTGATAGGCATATTTTGCATTTTACAAATATTGTACTTAATATAAATTTGTTACTGCCGCGGTGGTCGTGTAGAGAGTATCCACATTTTATCCTGGTACTATTAGGAAATTCAAGATGGCGGATTTTGTGATTATGATCCGATTCTATTCAAAATTTTCAGGAGTAGCAGATTATGATTCTGTCGTCAAAAGGAGTGAAAAATAAATGTTAGTTTGAAAAATTAAAGAAACACTGTATAGTGTGTCCACTTAAAAGACGGACCACCCCTGTAAAATCATTTTTATCTGATTGATTCTGAAAAACTTTTTTTGTTGGATTGGTAGGTGTTCATTCTTGGACTGTTATCGTGACCAACTGCATTTTTATGACCCATAGTTCAGGAAGTACGAGGGATTTTTTCCACGAAAAAGGATCACTTGAAATATACCTGTAACGATTTTTATCATCATAAAGAGCACAGGGTGTCCAAAAGAACGTAATATAATTTTTTTTTATTAGGTGATCAGAAAAAAAATTCTTCACTCAAAAAATAATTATGAATAACGATCACTTGAAACATAACTGTACCGATTGTCATCTAAACGATGACACAGGGTGTCCGAAAAATCTAATAATTTTTTTCAATTGATAATGAAATATTGCCTACTTATTCTATTTTATTTATTATTTCTCATACACATCGTATATTTGAATGACCAATATCGGTACAGATATATTCGTGGTCCTCAATAATAATTTGTGAATAATTATTCCCAAAACTACAGTACAATACATTTTTCCATCACGTATTGAAAAAAATTATAATTCGTTTTTTTCAGATACCCTGTATTTAATGATGACGAAAATCTGTACTGGTGTGTTTTACGTAATCCTGATTCAGAATTCATAAATTTTTGCCTGTGTGAAAAATCATCATGATAAAAAGTATTGCTTATTCAAACTTTTAAATTTTTTCTCAGACATATTGTATATTCCAATGCTGAAAATTGGTACAGATATATTTGAAGTAATCCTCATTAATATTATGTCATTAGTTCTTCCCAAAAATACAACGGTACTACATTTTCTGATCACATATTCAAAAATAATAATAATTCGTTTTTTCGCACATCCTGTAATGTATGTTGATGAAAATCGGCACGGGTATGTTTCAAGAGATCGTACTTCAGAACCCATCATTATTTTTGGGGAAAAAAATCCCTAATAGTATTTTCTGAGATATGGGTCAGTAAAGTTGGTCGCAGTTCGCAACGTTAACAGCCCAAGAATAAAATCACTCCTACCTATCCAAGTAATAAGTTTTGCGAAATCGGTCAGATAATAACGATTTTACAGGGGTGGTAAGTCCTTGAGGTGGACATGTATTTCAATGCCGCCCTGTACAGTACAAGAACGTTTGCGGGATCAGCTAGTTTATGATATTAGTAGGGAAGGGATTGTTGCCTCACCTGTTTCTCAACTCGACCACCTTCAGCTTCTCCAAGCGCTTCATTTCTTCGATGCTGTTCATGACGTCCGATTCGGAAAAAGGCGAGTCTTTCATTTTCTCTTCCACTTTCTTTATCACCACAGGTACGTTCAGCTTCACGGTCTTCTTCACCGAACCTACGGATGGAGATACAGGGTGTTACCGAAAATGTAGGGAAAAAACAGAACGAATTCAATAAGGCTTTTCCTGGAATTTTTCTAAATAATTGTTCAGATATTTGAACATTTATTTCAATGATTGTGAAAACTTCTAATAAAAAAAGAGTTCTGGTATAAGGGATTACACTTCCTCAAGAAATATTTGTCAAAACTAATTGTCTGATTTGGGCGTTTTTTGTTTTGACTGACAGATTATCTCCTTCAAAACATTGGTGTGCAAACTTTATTACCACAAAAACCTCTTTTGTATAAATATCGGGTGTAGCAATTTATAATACCCTGTTACATTAACATTATCAAGTCAGAATTGAAATTTTATCCTCATCTTTCTTTAACATTTCTTTCTCGGATTCACTCCATTTTGTTGTGAAATATGATTTTATGAAAAATTAATATCTGTTATGATAATAGGTATCAAGACCTTGTATATACCTTGTATTCGTCATATATTGCTAGGCAGACAGGGAATTGTCAGTAGAGATGACATGCATGTAACACGATCAGTCAATAAACTTCTTTGATTCATATATGATTAGGAGTATGATTATTAATATACATACATTAAACAACATAACAATATCCAAATTTAAAAACGAAAAAACGAAACAGTCAAGTTGAAAGAAAGGGTCAGTAGCGAGTATCTTCTTCTTCTTGGCAAGACGGCCTATACCCAAAATGGGAGACCTAATGTCATTTTGGTCCATGCACCCCAAATTTGAATCAGTCTCTGCCGTGCGCCTTCCAAAGTATTCAAGTTACATTCCTCTGGTTATCTTGTACCAAGAACGTCCAAGAGATACTCAATGGAATTTAAATCCGGGCTTCGAGCTGGCCATGCCATGATAGCGATACAGACTTCCTCTAGATAGATGATCTCTCACAACTCGGCGACGTGAGGTCTGGCATTATCTTGCATCAACAAAAATGCTTGCCCTATGTGTGGTTCCAAAATCTTCTTCTAAAGGCTTTTATTTATGATCACAAGTTCCATGCGAGCAGTCAAAGAAATGCCTTCCCAGACCATAGTTTGCTACTTACGTGCTTATAGTGCTAATTGAATTCAATAAAATCATTTTATGCTATAAAATTGTGTTTCTGGAGTAATAGAAAAGATAATGGAGCGAAAAGGAATGTTGAAAAAAGATAAGACTGAAGGGTCAAATCAATTTAAGCTTGATAATGTAACTGGTGTCCTCTACAGGGTATTACAAATTCCATGAAAAAACACGCTATAATTGCTGCACTTGGTATTCATAAAAAGAGGTATTTATGCGAATACAGTTTGCACGCCAATATTCAGAAAAAAACCTGTCATTCAAAGCAAAAAACGTTCAAATAGCACTCGAATCTAGTAGATATTTATCAATAACGACTTGTCACTTGTCATATACTGTCATGGTCATGGCTACTAGATATTAATTAGAATTGAAAATAAGTGCTTTCATAGTGACAATAGGTCCAAGAAATACAGGATGAGTCATAACTTTAGGGACATAGGCTAAGAGCAAATTGTTTGGACGAAAATATAGCGATAGGACCAGATGTGCCTTAATGAAATATTGCTGTGGAAAAAGATACAGGGCGTTAAAGTTGATTATTTTTTTTCGTTTTGATAATAATTTCATTGTATATTCATCAATTGTTATCAAAATCGGCACAGAGTCATAATATCATACATTATAGGGATTTCCTTTCGTGCGCTCCAAGCGATAAAAAAAAGGAATATTAATTCATGAATTATTCTACAGTTTGTTATAAAGGGCGCTACGTGAATGATTCCTGAAGATGTAATCGACTGACGAAACTTTCTAGTGATTTTGGTTAGAAAATATAACATAATCATCATTTATGATGAATATTGATACTCTCGTTATTCCAGATTTTTTGGGATTTTCTCTCCTCATTCCTATAAAATAAAAATATATATATTATTTCAATATACGTGTATTAAGGACAAATCAGATGATTTGCCCCGAAATGTCACCGCGTTTAAAGAATTTTCCTATCAGAGAGCCTAAAAGAAAAATTCACTAGATTGTCAGTGACAATTTATATTGAAAAGTTTCAAGACAGATACGAATTTGCTATTCAAATAACCATTTTTTATGTTGAAAACGGGAGCAGATTCGTTCCCGAAACGTCCAAAGCTAGGTGAAATTTAATATTTTTTCTATATACCTTTATTTCTCTTCTCTAAACCTTCTTCAATACAAATTGTCAGTGATAAGCTACTGAATTTTTCTTTTAGGCTCTCTCATAGAAAAATTTTTAAACGCAGTGAAATTTTGGGGCAAATCATCTGATTTGTCCTTACTACACGTATATTGAAATAATATTCATATCTTTATTTAATAGAAACGAGGAGAAAATCCCAAAAAATCTGGAATAATGATTGTACCACCCCCTCGATTAACCTATTGATACTCTTGTATAAAAATGATATTTTCATCGGTTTTCTATAAAAACGCAATTGAACAGTTCGAAGTCTCGGAGGGGGATTTCAAATATTATTTCATTTATGAAAAGTTTGTTTTGTAGTGTCAGATTATTGCAGGCATATTTGGTCCTATCGCCATATTTTGGTCCTTAGCCTATGTCCCAATAGTTATGACTCATCCTGTATATTGCTAGTGGTGAAGAGTTTGAAATACACCTTGGTAGTAAACAATATTATTACTACGGGACCTTTAAACCTCGGCTGAAGCCTCGGGACATAATCTTGGTTCCTGTGTAATAATGATATTCTTCACTACCTTGGTGTATAAATAAATATTATTTTTTCTGTGACGGGAAAAAAGTTTGGCATTTCATCTGTGTGGGCAGGTTATAAAATGTCACTCTTCATGAATGACTTTTTGTGAGTACTATTTTCCCGGATATATATATAACATATAAGATTGTAGGTTTAATCCGTTCCGTCAGTGGAATGTCAATTGGTGCAAGACAGTCTGTTTCAGCTCGCCAAGCATCATCAGTTGCACTAGGCCAATCGACAATCCACTCACGGACCGGTCACTATTTGAAGACCAACAGGTAGTCTTCAACAGTGCGGAATACGGATGTTTGGTACAGTGCCACCTACTAGCACTAGACAGAAACGTGCTTTTCGGGCAGCGACGTAGGAGTACAGATATCTCTGTTACTACACCTACGTGCCCCGAGTGCACCTCGATAGTGTGGTATGGACCACAGACAGAGTGAAGAAGAAGAAAGATAGTGTGTATGAACACAGAGCCAGAGTATGAAGTAAAAGATTGTAGGTTTAATCCGTTCTGTGAGTGGAATGTCAATTGGTGCAAGACAGTCTGTTTCAGCTCGCCAAGCATCATCAGTTGCACTAGGCCAATCGACAAACCACTCACGGACCGGTCACTATTTGAAGACCAACAGGTAGTCTTCAACAGTGCGGAATACGGATGTTTGGTACAGTGCCACCTACTAGCACTAGACAGAAACGTGCTTTTCGGGCAACGGATTAAACCTACAATCTTTTACTGCATACTCTGGCTCTGTGTTCATACACACTATCTTTCTTCTTCTTCACTCTGTCTGTGGCCCATACCACACTATCGAGGTGCACTCGGGGCACGTAGGTGTAGTAACAGAGATATCTGTACTCCTACGTCGCTGCCCGAAAAGCACGTTTCTGTCTAGTGCTAGTAGGTGGCACTGTACCAAACATCCGTATTCCGCACTGTTGAAGACTACCTGTTGGTCTTCAAATAGTGACCGGTCCGTGAGTGGATTGTCGATTGGCCTAGTGCAACTGATGATGCTTGGCGAGCTGAAACAGACTGTCTTGCACCAATTGACATTCCACTCACGGAACGGATTAAACCTACAATCTTTTACTTCATACTCTGGCTCTGTGTTCATACACACTATCTTTCTTCTTCTATATAACATATATATACACTGTTGATGGCTTTTGTTGTGCTATAGTTCCGAAAAATGAGTCTATAATACCGTCTCCGAGAAAGAACTGCAAGTCCTTTTATCTTCCATTCGACTTCGTTCGGTTACGTATATTACTTTATTTCTGACTGGTATATTATAAGCTTATATCATCTTAGTTACACTATCAATTAGGAGGGTCATAACTCCCTTGGGATGTTATAGATGCTATAATTCCCTCTAGCTAAAATTAAATAAGAAATGCATAGCAACAACCACGCAATAACGTAGCAATAAGGAATCTCCTATTCGCGGTAGTCAAGATCATCATCTGACGTTCTGATGACATTGAAACTATACGGAAAAACATGTCTAACTTCCAATCGGGAAGGTATCTGATGAATGAAATCAGTCAGAAATAAAATTATCTATGTATCACGGGAATTATAGAGTCTTAATAACCTCTGGCAATTGCTGTCCCTCGGGCCAGAGGCCCTCGGGACGCAAACTTTGCCATCGGTAATTAAGGCCCTCATAATTCCCTTAATACATAAATAACTAAAACAACCACTAAATTCGCAATCTTCTTGAAATCAAATCACATAAATAGACTGACAGAAGTGACATCAGATATTTGATTACTTCAAAAGAATGATAAAGATGCCTACAACGCAGGTGTCCCTACTGTTAAAAACGAAATTTCACGTCGATAATTTTCAGATTTCAAAATATTGTAATATCTTCTCAATATTGATTCGTCCTTTCTTCTGTCACAGAAAAAAATAGTGTATTTTAGATTTTAGCTCAGGGTTTTTTGTCTCCCTCCGCTACGCGTCAGGAGACAACACAACCTGGAGCTGAAATCTACTACTTATTTCCCTTGTATAATAAATAACTATTGATTTTTGTTTATCAAAATCGGATGATTACTAGCAGCGCTATCACTTGGGCGATAGCTTATAATCAAAATGTACTTACCTATGAAGTATTTCCATTTCATTTGTTGGCAGGCAGACTGGATCTGGTCTTCAGTATGACTTATGGATGGATGACATATGAACGAGAGGGATTTCGCTATGTTGCTGTCAAAGATGTTTATTCTGTATATTTTAATGTAACCTTCTTCGACCAGTCTTCTCAGTATTCTGTTCAACGATTTTTTGTCCATCTTTTTTTCGTAACCTAGAATAGAAATGAAGCGTAAGGAAATGTACTTCATTGAACCTTTGATTGGACTTGACAGGAACGTAACGTCATCAAATTTTTTTAAACTTTTTCTTCTTTAATTTTTATCGAAATATATTATAGTGGGTGACACCTGAGCTACAAGATGAGTATAATTAATTTGAAATCAACAGGAGATACGTTATCAATAATTTCTTTGTACCTAACAACATTTTTTAACCTGAAGTAGTTACCTAACTATTTTATTGCGAACTATATTGTTCAGCCCATCTAGTTCGACTGAAATTTCTCTAACCTAAATTGAAACCTAGTAGGCGAGGTATAATATTGTCAGTTCATTGGAAAGAACATGCAAACACCGTGCTTATCGGCGATGTTTTCAGTAAAACGGTGACCTCTATTTTGAACTAAGTTATGCATTTCACTACTCTAGATATTCATTATTGCCACATTTTTGTTGCACCTTGTATAGATATCCTCAAGAGTATCTGTTTGTTTAAGTAAAATCTACATTTCTAAGGCGAATTCGCTGACTTATACTTTCCGATTTTTCAAAAAATTACAGAAATGCATCATTGTGCATGAAAAATAATATCTCTATAATGCGGATTCATATTTGAAAAACCATTTCGAAACCAGAAATTGGTTTGAAATTTCATAATTTCATCTACATAGAGTTGGAGAAGTCTCTATTTCATCTGGAGAGAGATAAGGTTTTCTTCATCGAGTCTCACAATCATTTTTATATCATCCTGTTTGTGCTCCATTTTGAATTTTTGTATCAGGACACTCACATTATCCAGAACTATCACCACAATGAAAACTTTTCAAAAAACAATAATTTTGTAAAAAAGATATATCTCCGACATGAAGGGTCTGATTGAAAAAATTTCGAAATTATTTCAAGAGGAAACATCAAGCTTCACATAGTATAAACAATATTTTCTGCAACGGGAACGCAACGACACCGGTGCAATTTTAAAATACTTTAATTACCATCCTGTAGATCGTTCATCTGGAATATTTGTAGTCTCATATTGCTCTGACGAGTAACAAAAAGTTTGTGCTAGCCGAATTGAAATAATTAGTTATGGGATCCATGAGTAATTCGATTTAGAACCTGCTATTTTTTGGACCACGACGTTTATTTTGTTGATCAATTGAGCTAAAGATAGTAATAAATTTATGAATAAGGATAATGGACCTACTCCATACAGCCCTTGTATATTTTAGCGATTTAAGATTAGGATTTACCATGACGCACATTGACCGATTATCATGAAACTATGTATACATATTCTTAGATGTAATGAAAAGCACATGGGATACTTTTCATTAGGAAAATAAAATACAATTTTACGACGGGTAAAAAAATATTTTGGAAGACATGATTGTTGGACACAAAATACCCAACAATGAGACATGAAACTCTATATGTCGGTACCTTAGATATTAATAATTAGAATACGTATTTTGGGACTCGTAAGTCTTTGATTATTTAGAAGATGAAAAGATAATGACAAATATCCAACATATCATCAGGTGGGCACTTCGAAGGCGCAAATTTTTAACTGCATGAGAGATACCCTTCAGATATTTTGCTATTCAGTGACTTGACCACGAATGACATTGAAGTTTTAGATTTATGGGCAACCAAAATACACGATTTTAATACTACCTGAATGAGCCATCTATTGATCTAGAGACAGGGCACAACAAATAAGACAGGCGGAAGCATGTTGTGGTAAAATATTGATTCAGTTCTGTTGGACTGTACCACTGTACCATAGAATATTCTGTGACTGTACCCTGCTAAATAAAACAAATCACCACCAATTTCAAGAAAATCGCATATCAATAATTGAGATTTTAGAGTGTATTCATAAAGAGCCATACAAACTGTATAAAAAGCATTTTAGAATAGGATTTTTAGTTTTAATATTCTCTTGAAGATGCCAACATAGTTAGCGAAACGAGTGGTCGCGGCTTTGAAAAATTTGTTTGGTTAGTGATGAAACAGTGATGTGTGAACCAACCCTTGACTGTTTCGACAAAATAAATCGTACACCCAGGAGAACACCCCAAGATTTATTGATTCAATAACCAAGTGAGTTCATTTCCAAGGCAACCGTATCCACACATCATCATACTGAAAACCAAAATTGCCGAGAGGCATACTATTCGCGGTAGTCAAGGTCATCATCTGACTTGCGATGACATAAAACCAGGAGTTGAAAATATTTTCCCGTAGTTTTCATGTCATCGCAACGTCGGCTCATCAGAGATGAATCTTACCAAAAACCGAGAGAATCGATTTGCTCCACGATGAAATTGACTTACCTCCAACCAGTCACCAAAGAAAAATCTTCGATGGAACAAAGGCGAGCTAAATAAAATTGGTCAATTAAGACACGAAATAATTAAGAATACTAATAGAGTTGTGAATAAGGAAAAATAACCTGAGTAGATGTAAATGTTCGCTGAATCAAATAACGTTGACACAAATGGATAATATGGGGTGTACTAGTATAATGACACCTCGACTTCAGTGAATCATGACAATAATGTATGCAATGATAGACAAGGACTAAATAATATAATATATACATGACAACCTCAATCAATAAGAACTAAGAACTCACGGCGCAGGCAGGTCAATGCTGTCAATGAAGATCTTGCTGAAATCACAGCCTGAGGAACGAACAATATAGTTGAATTCAACGCCACCAAAACTCAAGCCTGCATTTTCTCTAGGAAGGCGGAACTCAGTATGCCCGACATTGTAATGTCTGGCACCACCATCTCCACCAAGCCCACCATATTTATGCTCGGTATTTCCATCAGCAACACTCTTTCATGGGATAATCATGTCAGATCCATCGCAAAAGCTGCTTCACAAAAACTCGGATTCTTGTTCCGTGCGAAAAGCTACTTCACACCTCAACAGCTTCTCATGATCTACAAAGCGCAGATACGGCATGTTCTAGAATACTGTTCCCACATATAGGGTTCAGCACCAAAACATACGCTGATGCTCTTAGATTCCATCCAGAGAAGAGCCATCCGCCTGGTGGGTGACGCCACACTCACTCACTCACTCTTTCACATCATTGGAACACCGTAGAAAGGTCGGCAACCTTTCACTTTTCTATCGATACTTCCACGGGAAATGTGCTTCGGAAATCTCTGCTATCATCCCTTCCCTAGCAATACCAGTCAGAGGAACTAGACAACCTCGAAAGATGTCGAACAGCACTTTATCAAAACTCCTTCATCCATAGAGCGACTAGGCTCTGGAATTCATTACCTGAGGAAGTATTTCCCAACAACATATAATCTTCAGAAGTTCAAAAAAAAATTCCAATACCTACCTCCTATCCCTATCCTCCCTAGGAACGCACGATGTTCTTTGAACATTACAGGGATTCCCTTTCGTGCGCTCCAAGCGATAAAAAAAATCGATTGGCTCATTAAAACTAATATAATATATATTTATATGCAAATATAAACATATAAATTCACGGGGAGAGATGTGACATATATGCACCATATCTGTCATAATAATATGTGAACCATAGTTGTATTGATTTATTTGCGCTACTGTATACCTACACGTCGATATCTTTTTTACTGTTTGGTATGGTTACTATACAGGGTGTAACTAAATAATTGTAAAACATTTGAGGGGCTGATTCCTCATCTAAAAATAGATGAGATCTTTCATATAAAGAAACTTCATTAGAGCATCTCATGTTAAGACACAGCCCCTTGAAGGGAATACATAAAATTTGTTCAACAATTTTCTTCACAAGCACTAAAAAAGTTACAGTATTGAAATAATCCCGACATTTTCTATCAAAAAGACACTTAGCCAGTAATTTATTTGGTTTACCCCATGGTAAGGGGTGGAAAACGGAACCGCTGAATTTTATTTCCAATGTAACTTTTTGTCTTATTATTTGTTTACCATTTTGAAATTTATTTCCGATAGCCTGTTTCATTCTAAACAAAAAATGTCCCTTGAATTTTTTGCCCAAAATAAACCAGTTGGCAGCAAAAAAATATGTTACGATCAACTATAGACATACATCGTTTGTTTACCATTTTGAAATTTAATTCCGATAGCCTGTTTCATTCTAAACAAAAAATGTCCCTTGAATTTTTTGCCCAAAATAAACCAGTTGGCAGCATAAAAATATGTTACGATCAACTATAGACATACATCGTCATAAATTCGAACTGGATTTATTGTCATTTTGTAGTACTGGTACTGGTACTGGTGGGGGACGTTTCCACGTCAGCAACTAGTCCCCAATGGGACCTTTTTGCCAACCCCAAGTGTTTTCAATGACTGATGTGGTTCGCTTAAGAGAGCTGGCTAACATCCTTTTCAGGCACCGCCCATCAGCTCTCTTTCAGAGTTTTTCAGCTGTGTTTTGTAGGCTAGTAATGTACTCACTATCATATGCGCAGTGGCAGTCATTTTGTAGTTACTACCTGCGTTAAATGATTAAAGGGATTAAACCATGGGGTGAAGCAAATAAATTACTGGCTAAGGGTCTTTTTGGTAGTAGAAAATGTCAGGTCAATTTCAATACCGTAACTTTTTTAGTGCTTGTGAAAAAACCATGGTTAAAGAATTTTTTTTTGTATCTTAGCATGGGATGTGTAATGTACTGAATAACTCAGGAAATAACAATATTCTTTATTTATTTCTTCATGTACAAAATTACCAAAATCATTCAATGACATGCATTCCAAGAATCTTGTTTTAAATAAGAATCGGTACTAAGCAACAACAGAATACTATCCTGATTCCAAAATTGGTTTATACTGTATGAACTATAATTAAAGATACAATACTTAACAGGATGCTTCGATGAAGTTTCTCTAAATGGAAGATGGTATCTTTTTTTGAGGAATCGCCCCCTTAAATGTTTTACACTTATTTAGTTACACCATGTATATCTATAGGCACTGGGTTACAGCATAATCGC